TAAATAAAATAAAATAAGCCATAAGAAGACAAAAAGAAAAAAAACTGTACATAATATGTCACACCTGAAGTTTTTTTTTTTTAAAATATTTAACCTTTATTTATCCAGGTAAACTGTTTGAGAATCTCTTCTCATTTACAAACATGACCTGGCATGCACTGAGTGCATTGCAATACACAAACCTGCATATTCAGCCATAGTAAACTTAGATTAATCGCGATTAAAATTTTAAATCTATGACCAGCACTAAAATTAATCAATACGAGTTAACTCAATTAATTTCACAGCCCCAGGTAAAATACAAATCAAATAACATAGTGTTAGAAATTTTACAAAAATATAAAAGCTTAAACATATTTTAAATTTCCTTACAAAAAAATTAGTTTTAAAAATAAGTTGAAGATGTGATCATGAGGATTGTCAATGGGAATATTTTGTTTTAATTGTCAGAAATTTTACCTACATGAATCGAACGTTCATCTTTTTCTTCTGAATAAATTTAAGAAGAAAAAAATAAACACCGCAACTTGCGTTAAATGTATAGTGCACAGGTCTAAATATAAGACTTTGCAGGTAAAAGAAAGTATTTAATTTGAAGCCGTTTGAGTAAAAAAGAAAATGTCTCAATGATGAATATTCAATTACCATTTGATTAACAAAATTAAACACAACATGGACACAAATCATCCCTTCATTTCATGCAGCTGTAATATAGTTTAGCCAGCAGATGGCGCCAAACATAATAGTCTTAATGTTTCAAAAAATATTATTTCTAMATAATTTCTTCATAATAATTCAGTAATTCAGAGAGTCTCTGTTTCTGTATCACTACTAYCAACATATCTATGGTGTTTTCGGTATCATTTAGTTTTAATCTGATGGCTGTATTTCATTTTYAAATCAAATTGGCGTACTCTCAGAAAATACATTAGAATAAACACTTCTATTCATATTTCGGTGTCACGATTTGCGCTCGGCCCTGCTGCATATTTCTATAGGCGTGCTGTCCTTTTRAACATGTAACTTGATTTCCTAAGCTTGCTTTAGACTTTTATTCTGAAAACCGGAAACGTCGGAGGAGAGTTAAGGAAGCGATGCTTGCGTCCTGTTAGCGCAGACCTCGACATTAAACAACAGAATCCTTAATTTTTACCGGTTAAAAAGGCGCGACACACCAATGGAGCTCCTCAGTACTAATGAAAATATAARGGGTACGTGAATTAACCATTTTCTCTTGGTTAGATTTGATTCAAATTGAGTTTTTAGTACTAACTCAGTGAATGGGCTCCGTCTACTTAAAGGAATCATACTCTTCAGCAGACTGAAGTTTATTCAAAATAGAAATTACTTTRCTATAACTACATTTAGAATATATTTTACATTGTCAAATATTACATGTTAAGTCTTTGCGATTTTAATTACAGTTGCTTAAATTTTTATGAATTTTCACGTTTATAATGATAAGCTTATCCAGCATTTATACCAATTCAAAAGGCTGTAGCAATATTGAACACATAATATAAACTAATAAGTTATTTTGTTGTAATATATTGTTTTATTGYTCAGATTACTTTGTTTAAATATAATATAATAATAATATCTAAGCACAGGGAAATGTACAATTTTATTTTTAAAGTTGTTTATTATTGCAGTTCAGTTTATCTGCAATGTTTTTGCCTCACTGCTGCCCTCTAGAGAACACTCCTCACTCTGCAACTTTTATTTATTTATTTATTTATTTATTCATTCATTCATTCATTCATTCATTCATTCATTCATTCATTCATTCATTCATTCATTTCACCTTTCAGTTTCAGACCCCATCCCGCCTGTGTCGTCCCTTCGCCTCCTGGTGCCTCCGTTGCAGTTCCTGTCTGCTACTATGTGGCACGTGGCCAAGCAGAAAGACGTGATGAATTATGGGAGGCTGCAGGAGTTTGTGTCCGTGGTGACGGAGGCGGTTCCTGGTGTGATCAACCACAGACAGAGGGCACAGCTCATTCTTGGACTAAGAGCCAGGGTGAACAGCAGTTTGTGTTACATGAAATGATGTTTATGTTGCTGTACTGCCTCTGTAGTAACTTTTTTCTTCTTCTGGTGTTTTCAGTTGATTTTAGAGCTCTGCAAAGGTTCGGCTCGAGGAGATGTTGATTTTAACGAAATCAAGAGCCACTTGGAGAGATTCCCTATTACCAGTTCAAACGCAGATGTATGTACACTAAAGGAACACAGCTTAAATATATCTATAACGTAACACGTCTCTGTTTAATACAGTCTGTTTTGTTTTAGTCTGTGGATAAAGAGGTGAAAACAACAGAGTACACTTTCATTGCTCTTGTCCAGAGTTTGCTGAATGACCCAACTGAACGAGCGTATTTCTTTCAGGTGAGGCACAGTTTATTTATCAGCTCGTTCGCATGAAAACTAAAGGGTTAAAAGGTMATTTATCTGTTGCAGCAGGTGTTCYCTGTTGCATATGGTCCACAGTATGATGCAGCGCTGCAGGTGTTATTGTGGGAGCTGCTGTCAAAGCTGGAAAAGATGCTCCCAGGACCTGACCTGAAGCAGGTATTTATTGACTCTTTCAGATTATTTTACGTGTTGAACTTTGAGATCAGYTGCCCTCGTCTTGCAGACAGCTGCCTGGCTCGCCTCTGCTCCTTCAGCTTTGGAGGAATGTGTTCTGTCGTCACCGGAGGAGCTGGGATCCATCTTTAAGTACTACAAAAACCTAGGACTACTGAAGACGACGTGTAAGYTTTAATCCAACCACCAGGTGTTTCTGAAAACACTGCTTGTGTTTTGTTTAGTCGTGTTTTGTTTCTTCGCAGACAGGCCCTCTTCCACCATTGGGAGCTGYATCATGACCGCGTTATCAGTTCCTCCTTCACAAAAGACAAGCTTATCCATCGAGCAGGAATCCATTCATAACTACGCTAACACATTAGCCCCTCTCACTCTCGCCGGGCTGGACCATTACAGCGTTGTAGCCTTTTGCACCGAAGTGGAAGTCCAAGCGTCCGAGGCGGGTGAGGACGTGATGGCGTCCTCTGAGGTCCAGCTTCAGACAGACTGTTATGAAGAAGAGATAGTGTCCGACAACGCTGCTGGGGAAGAGGCTGCAAGCGTGCGGGCTTTGGAAACGAGTGAAACAGCTGGTGTGGCKAGAGCTCTGGAAACGCTGGCGAAAACGTTTGCGTTAAGGAAGGAGAGCCTGGGTCCAGATGTGCAGGCAGGAAGCAGTGCTCCGAGCCATGAGCTCGGTCCAGGAAGTGAGCCAAAGGGACGACAGACGAATGAAAATCTCGAAACGGGGAGCGAGACAGAGGTGCTGCAAAGTTTTCAACCAGAAGCTGCCGAGGCAAACACAGACGTGTGTACAGAGCARAACTGTGAGTCGGTCGCTGTGAAAGAAACGCCAAATGTCACATGTCCACAAACTACATCTTTGCCAAAATGTCAGGAGGTGTGGAAAGTCACAAGATCTGCAAGAGAAAGTGGTGAAGAATCAAAAACGTATGTTATGCTCTTTTTACCCCATATGTTAAAGTTAGCCTTTTAAAATTAATTTAATTTAATTTATACAACAAAAACATGCATATTTTTATCCACGTCTGCCATTTTTAAGCTTATTTACTGGATATCTATGAGAGTAAAAAGGTTCATAAAATATTTAATTTAAACTGTTCATTAAATCAAACATGAGATTTCACATTTTTAATAAGGTTTTGTTTCTTCAGGAACGCAGCAGATGTGTCAGTTGCACCGTCTGTAATAGCCRTCAAAGGGACAGACAAAGGTGAGGTGAAGCATCTTAATCTCTTAAGGTGAAACTTGGATTTTGTTAATTCTTTCCTTTCGTTTGCAGGAGAGTCAGATGAAACCGTATCCATCATCTTCACCTGCTCGCAGTGTCCTTTCCACAGCTCAGATGACAACAGTCCCCCTCACTTCCACTTGCAAAATGTTCCCTCTGAAGTCTACCGGAGTTTCTCAGGTGGCAAATTCACGCCATGTCCCTCGAACGCTGACAAAGTATTCACATCGATCAAACTTTTCCCCAAAGGCAACGCAGAGCAGCTACGTCGTGAAGGTGAARCTCCTGTTTCTCCGACTCGCGGCAAACACAAGTCTTTAACCTGTGAAACCTGTGGCAAGGGGTTCACTCGKACGTCAGACGTGAGAAGACACCAGCTCATWCACACCGGAGAGAGACCCTTTCACTGCTCGCAGTGTGAGAGGACCTTCCAGCACTCCTGGGATCTGGCCAAGCACGAGAGCAAACATCACGGCGTGACCATCTCCTTCTCCTGTCAGCTGTGTGGGAGCTCCTTCGCCAATCTGCGGGGGCTGACCGTCCACCACAAGAAGAGCCACTCGGAGGAGAGTCAGCTCCCTCAGATCTGCTCCATCTGTAGCCGGAGCTTCCCCACTGCCGCCGAGCTACTGGAGCACAGGAAGTCCCACGTCGCCGCCAAACGCTACCACTGCCAACAGTGCGGCGAAGGCTTCGACACGCTGCTCGCGCGTTCCCAGCACAGGAAGGCGCACCAGGTGAAGCGGCAGTTYAAGTGCCCGCACTGCGAGAAGACGTACACTCGCAGGTCCGACGTGAAGCGGCACCTGTCCGTCCACACCGGGGAGCGACCGCACCAGTGCAACCAGTGCAACAAGCGGTTCTCGGTGTGCTTCATGCTCGTGAAACACCTCCGGGTTCACACGGGCGAGCGGCCTTACCAGTGCGCCCACTGCTCCAAGAGGTTCACCCTGGTGTCCGTGTTGGCCCGGCACGAGAGGATGCACACCGGGGAGAAACCGTTCCTCTGTTCGCAATGCGGGAAGGGCTTTTTATCGCAGGGAGAGCTTTTAAAACATCACAGATCGCACGTGGACGACAGGCCCTACGCCTGCCCTCAGTGCGACAAACGGTTCAAGAGCAAAAGGACTCAGCGGGAGCACATCGCCTCGCACAGCGGCGCCCGCCCGTACCCGTGCRCCTACTGCGGCAAGGGCTTCACCAAACCGTACGCGCTGACCAGGCACAACCTCATCCACACAGGAGAGAGGCCGTTCCCCTGCGGACACTGCGATAAGTCCTTTCTCACCCTCAGCGAGGCCCAGCTGCACCAGAGGGTCCACACGGGGGAGCGGCCGTACCCCTGCGACGTGTGCGAGCTCCGCTTCAAGAGCTCGTCGGAGCTGGCGCGACACAAACACAGGCACTCTGGATTAAAGAGGGGCAAGCCGTCATGTGAGAGGTGCAGGGAGACGTTCACATCAGTCGCTAAGCTGAAGAAACACATGGAGACGCATGAGGACAGCACAGAGGCTGCACAGACTGTGGACACTAAGGAATCAAGTCTTTAAATGATTGGGATTATTGGTAATACAGCTTTAGGCTTTTTTTTTTTTTACTGCAAATGTTTCTTTTTGACTTTATCACTGGGATATTCTTTTGTTTCTCTGAGTGAAAATCATAGATGGACAAAACTCGAATAAATACTCTACATGTCGTTTGATTTCTTCTCCATTTTGTTGCTGCTGTAGTGTTCACTAGTGTGGAGTTTGGATGACTTACCATTGCACTCGCCTTTTAAAGCCGAGCAGCAAGAAACAAAAAAAAAGTAAGTTCTTGATTTAATAGCTGTCGTTTCAGGGAAAAGGCTGAATGTCAACAAAGAAACTTGTTATACTGAGAGTTGCACCAAAATATTAAGTGTAAAACGAGATTTATACAGTAACTGTTGCTTTTATGATTCAGTACGTTTAGGTTTTTGTTGGTTGATTGTTAAATGCAGTAGTAAGAATTTAACCCCGTGTGAAAATGGTTTCAAGTTAAATCATTTCCTGTTAAGGTATTTTTWATTTTACCTAGTTATTTCTTTCAAGTACTTTATGTACCTCTGTTAGTTTTATTAAGTTTCAATGTTAAAACATGAACGTGTCATCCACTCTGCAATTTTTTCCATTGTGCTCTGGAGTACAGATGCAGCGTTCTGATTTGGTATGGATATATGACAGCATCGTCTGCATACGTTTGAATATTAACCTCAGGCAAAATGACAATAAGATCATCAATACAAACACTAAACAGCAGGGGGCCTAATACTGATCCTTGGGGCACTGTGAAAGATTTTGTGAAGAAAAATCAAAATGTAGTACCTCATGTCAGGTGATGTTTCACTAATTATTTTCCAAAGTGAGCAAAATGAAATGGCTTCCTCAGCTGATTGTTATATTGCTAAGACAGACTGCTGACCTCATAAACRTGTTTCACTAGATTTCTAAATATTGTTTCATTCCAGCTCACTGTTACATTCCTTCAAAGAAAACTGACTAGTTTTGTCTCAGTCTGGTCCAAAATGTATTTTCTTGAGGAGAAACGACCTTCATCCACAGCCAGTTTTATCTACATAATCCCCTCTCTCTCTTTATGTCAGTATTATGGCTTTTTCATTGAAAAGGCGGGGATTGAATGTGTTTAATTAACCGAGAGGTTTTAATTTCCTCTGACTGGGTGAGTAGCTGATTGGGGGAAAGCCGACGCCACTGCAGGAATCACCATCATAAAAAGGTGGCCGGGCCAATTTTTGTGGGCTTCCAGCGTGCAACTATAGCCTACTGAACCAATGGGGTGCAGTAAATATGCCGTAAAACTGGAGAGGGTTCACTGAACTAAAATTGAATTTCTATTTTTAGCTCGCCTTGTGTTTTGAGTCGATTCCAACCCTGTGAAGACTGTCAGTAACATGTGGCAGTAAATGGTTTAGATTRATGTGGAAATGGGCAGTAATATGTAAATTAAATCAATTTGTTGGGCCATATATTATCTTTATATTTTATTGTGGTGACATTAATCTTTTATTGAGAAGTAATGAAGCTAAAAATGTGATGAGTGAAGAAAGTCTGCATACCAACGCAAACTGAGAAAATTACATATTTATATTAACAAATCTTATAGTTGAAAATAAAGTTCAACTAAGTATATATAACTAAGTATAGTCCATTTTATGGTATAAAATTAGAAAATAAGGGAAACAAATAATAAATATTTTCACCCATTTCTAATGGGAAACTAATGAATTACTTAATAGTTATTAATAATAGTTATAACTTCCCTTTAATTAATACATACAGCAATTAAAGCGTCAATGTGTTCATAAATGAATAAATTTTAGGACTTCTCCAACTTTCTTTTATAAAGGTTTTTTATTAACTCAGTTCAATCAGTAATCAACACTTGATTATTAACTCAAATCACTATGATTTAAATATAAAATATTCAGCAAATAATTAGTAATAAAGTAATAATGGTGATTAGCATTTTGTCATGGCAACTAATAAATGACACAAATTAGTAACAAT